CAGTGCAAGGAAACATGCCTCTTGTAGAGAGCAAGGGGCTGGGGGGGGCAGAAGGGGAGCAGTGAGCGTCAGCCACTCAGGCTTGTTGGGCCTGAAAAAAAATAAAAGTCTTAAATCGGAAAAAATAAATAAATAAATAAATAAATAAATAAATAAAGTTCATTTAAAAAAAAAACTACAGGCACACCTGGATGTCTCAGTCAGTTAGTGTCTACCTTTGGCTCAGGTCATGATCCCAGTGTCCTGGGATGGAGCCGCACATCAAGCCCCACATCCAACTCCCTGCTCAGCAGGGAGCCTGCTTCTCCCTCTCCCTCTGCCGTTCCCACCACTTGTGCTCTCTGGCTCTCTCTCTGTGTTAAATAAATAAATAAAATCTTAAAAACAATAAAAAAACAAACAACAACAACAAAAAAATATATATATATAAATCCACTTAGCCGGCTTTGACCTCACAACATAAAATTCCTTTTCCACAAACCTTCTACAACTCAATATCCATTCATATTTTGTTCTGTTCTTTCACTCTTTCACATTCTACTTTAGGACAAAATTACTCTTTTTATCTGAAAGGAAAAACACTCTTCATTCTTTACATACTTTTCATACAAAAACACATCCTACTTCTCTTCCATTCTTTGTATACAAAGTCGTTTCCCTTCAATCTTGTTACTCAGTCTTATTTTTTTATATATTGATTATAAATTTTAACCATTGGCAACCTTTATTTTACAGAGAAAACCAGGAAGTAGACAATTGAGAACTATAATATACCAGTATTCTGTAGTAGATAAACAAATTTTATGAATATACCATCTCATAAGCTATAGAGGTATATGTTTTCTATAATATTACTTTTTTTAATGTGTCAAGGACATGTTTATTAAGAGACCCAAGATCCTTGGCTTCTCTGTACCATATAAAAATAAATAGCCAAAAGTATATAAACTTAAACTTTTGCTTAATAGTGAATTTTTTTTTAATATTTTCATTTATTTATTTATTTGACAGAGAGAGAGACAACACAAGCAGGGGGAGTAGGAGAGGGAAAAGCAGGCTTCCCACTGAGCAGGGAGCCCAATGCAGGGCTCAATCCCAGGGCCCTGGGATCATGACCTGAGCCGAAGGCAGACGCTTAACAACTGAGCCGCCCAGGCGCCCCAATAGTGAATGTTTTAACACTTTATCTTATTTAGAAATTATTTATATATTTAATAAAGATCTATTATTTAACTTAGCTTACCATGACTCTAAGGTTCCAAGTTGCCAAAAAGATTTTGGAAATGATTTTTAGGCAGCATATTATAAAACATAATTATCATTATAAATAAAGTTTGTCAGGGGCACCTAGGTGGCTCAGTCGGTTAAGCATTTGCCTTCAACTCAGGTCATAATCCTAGGGTCCTGGGATCACGTCCCACATCGGGCTCCCTGCTCAGCAGGGAGCCGGCTTTTCCCTCTCCTCCCTTCTCATTCTCTCTCTCTCCCTATCTCTGTCTCTCTTCCAAATAAATAAAATCTTTAAAAAGAATAAAATAAAATAAATTCAATTAATTTAAATTCAATTAATTAACATGTAATGTATTATTTGTTTCAGGGGTACGGGTCTGTGATTCATCAGTCTTATATAATACCCAGTGCTGATTACAACATATACCCTCCCTAATGTCCATCACCCAGTTACCCCATTCCCCCTCATTTTGTTTCCTAAGATTAAGAGTCTCTTATGGTTTGTCTCCCTCTCCGATTTCGTCTTGTTTCATTTTTTCCTCTCTCCCCTATGATCCTCTGCCTTGTTTCTCAGATTCCGCATATCAGTGAGATCATATGATAATTGTCTTTTTCTGATTGACTTATTTCGCTTAGCATAATACCCTCTAGTTCTATCCACGTCATTGCAAATGGCAAGATTTCATTTTTTTTGATGGCTAGGTACTATTCCATTTATATATATATATATATATATATATATACACACACACACACACATATACATATACATATACATATATACACACACACCACATCTTCTTTATCCATTCATCTGTCGATGGACATCTCAGCTCTTTCCATAGTTTGGCTATTGCGGACATTGCTGCTACAAACATTGGGGTGCGGGTGACCCTTTGGATCACTACATTTGTATCTTTGGGGTAAAACCCAGTAGTGCAATTGCTGGGTCATAGGGAGGATACAACTCTTTTAAGGGATTTTTATAAATTAATTTGGTAATATCATCGGGAGTTAGGGAAATATACATATCAGACATACATAAATATACAGACAGATGCAAATACAGATCTCACAGGGGTTTTTTTGTTTTTTGTGTTTTTTTTTTAAGATTTTATTTATTTGACAGAGAGAGACACAGAGAGAGAGGGAACACAAGCAGGGGGAGTGGGAAAGGGAGAAGCAGGCTTCCTGCGGAGCAGGGAGCCCGACGCGGGGCTTGATCCCAGGACCCTGGGATCATGACCTGAGCCAAAGGCAGACGCTTAACAACTGAGCCATCCAGGCGCCCGTCACAGTTTTCATTTTAAAACTTTATCTGTGATTCAGACTGGCTACCTTGGTCAATAGAGGTAGTTTTATTCTTGCTTAAATGAAGCCTCACCTTAACATCTCTGTTTATTTCAGATGATTTGGAAAAAGCCAAGGAAATGTTAACAAAGATGAGATACTTTTCAAATATAGAAGAAAAGATCAAGTTAAAGAAGATTCCCCTCTAATGATTACTAGTTTAAACTTTCCAAAAAAAAAGTTTCAAAAATAAAGTTCTTGTATATTTCTTTTCTGGCTTCTGTTAATTGAGACTAGAGATGCATTCACCACTTTTACCATCTTAGTTAAACCTGTGGCTCAGGCATTAATGGATGGCAAAGTTTATCATGCGGGAGGAAACAGTGTAGCCAGAGCTTGGGTGGTCAGTTCTTTGTGTGATACTTGATACAGCATGCTCCCCATCTAGGCCAGTAAAAGAACTAGGGATGGAGCCAACTTGAGGCTCTGGAGAAATGGTTGGCAAACTTTTACTGCAAAGGGCCAGATAGTAAATGCTTTAGGCTTTGTGGCCCATACTACCTCTGTTATAACTGCTCAACTCTGTCATGATAGCATTTTGTTTACAAAACAGGCAGTGGGTTAGATTTGACCCAGAGATTCCCAACCTCTGCCCTAGAACCATATCTTCTTTCTAATGGCCAGCCCTTCACTAGTGCCCTTGTTAGTATAGTCTTCAGAGCATTCAGTTTAGTAACCATGCAAAGCTGCCTAAGGATTTCTTAGGCCTACATTTAAAAATGTAGATAATATTATCAAGAGTTAGTCTGGTGGGGCCATGATGGGGGTAGAGATTACCAAAAAAAGAAAAAAGAAAAAGAAATTCCAAGAAATAACAACTCTTGGAGAGCATTGCTTGTTTACAATTGAAAAATCAGAGTTGTGAACCAAGGTTAACTCCTAGAGCTTAAAATTGCAGCCCCTTTGCGTCCTCCCTCATCCTTGTCTAAGAATTTATATCTTGTGAATCCTCATCCTATTCTACTCAGTTTGTTAATAGTTTAGGATTTATGGATCCTCTGAAGGCAAATTAATCACAGCAGCTGTCTGGTTTAATGGTATTTAGGAATATCAGTACAATCACCAGCCCTCTTATATTTTACAAGGAGAATGAGTTACTTCTCTAAAAACACACAAGGAGTCTTTAAGTGAACAATTACAATGCAAGCAAATGTCCTAATTAAATTGGGTCCTCTGCAAAGAAACAGGAGATGAAAGTAGTGTTTGAAATAGTTCTGCAGACAATCTTCATTCCTTCTTCAGAACGATGATCAGGGACCAAAACAATCTGACCACAAAAAGAAATCAGATAAACATTTTTGGAGGAACTTCAAAGAAACTTTTCCCTTACCTGCTGCCATCAACTAGAAAGGCCACTAGGCCTCCCAGCTTACTTCTGATTTAGGGGATAAATAAAAAAGACTTTATTTCTAAGTCAGTGTAATTACTTTTGTTTTTTCTTTTTTGTTTTTCCTTCACTCTTCCAAAATCTTTCCCTGTTAGGGTAAAAGTCCAAGTTTAGCGGGACTTCTAAATCCAGGAACCCTTGCAAGTGTTCCCTGTCAAAGCTCTATGGGGAGGTAGGCTTCTAGACATCTGGAAGATTAGCACCCCTATTTGGACTAAAGTTTTTTGGTTTTCCTTTTTTTTTTTTTTAAGTTTATTTAAGTAATCTCTACACCCAATGTGAGGCTGGAACTCATGACCCTGAGATCAAGAGTTGCATGCTCTTCCGAATGAGCCAGCCAGGCACCCCTGAATTAAAGTTTCTTTCTTTTTTTTTTTTTTAAGATTTTATTTATTTGTCAGAGAGAGAGAGCGCGCGTGCACAAGCAGGGGTGTAGTGGCAGGGAGAGGGAGAAGCAGGCTCCCGCTTAGCAGAGAGCACTGATATGGGGCTCAATCCCAGGACCCTGGGATCATGACCTGAGCCGAAGGCAGATGCTTAACAAACTGAGCCACCCAGGCATCCCTGAATTAAAGTTTCTGACCAAGTGAAGCAAATTGAGCCCTCACCTCCCTCCCCACATCGTTCCCAATATAGAAAAAATTTATCAGAACAAGTAAGAGGTTTTGACTAATTTGTGGTTATTTCTTCTCAGACTCTGTTGTCAGGCCCAATATTATGGATTGGATGTGTCTCCCCCCACCCCCTCAGAAAATTCATATGGTGAAGCCCTAACCCCCAGTGTGGCTATATTTGGAGATGGTGTCTCTAAGGAATTAAGGTTAAATGAAGTCATATAAGATTCCCATCAGACAAGATTCATGTCTCTATGAGAAAAGACACCAGGGAGCTCCCTCACTTGCTCCCTACACTCATGTAGGAGGGAAGAATAACTTTTTTTTTTAAGATTTTATTTATTTGTCAGAGCACAGAGAGTGGCAGGCAGAGGGAGAATCAGGTGAGGAGCCTGCTTCAGGACTCGATCCCAGGACTCTGGGATCATGACCTGAGCCAAAGGCAGACGCTCAACCGACTGAGCCACCCAGGCATCCCACAAAGGAAAAAGATCTTGTGAGAAAGCCAGAGGGAAGGCAACCAGAAGGTGACTTCTCACTGGAAACTGAAACTGACCATGCTGGCACCTTGATCTTGGATTTCCGGCCTCCAGACCATGAGAAAATTGACTTCTGTTAAGTCACCCAGTCCGCAGTATTTTATTATGGGGGCCTGACCTGAGTGATACACCTGGATTTGAATCCCAGCTCTGCCATCTACGTGTGTGAGGCCACAATTATGCTAAGCTTCATTTCCTCATCTTTAACGTGGTGATAATAGAATGTATTTCACAGGGTTGTTGTAAGGATCAAATGAAATAAATTAAGCAAATTGCTTAGCCCAACACATAGCACATAGTAAGCACTCAAATGTGATTTTTAAAATTATAATGACTACTTTTGGGGCACCTGGGTGGCTCAGTCGTTAAGCATCTGCCTTCGGCTCAGGTAATGATCCCAGGGTCCTGGGATTGAGCCCCGCATCGGGCTCCCTGCTCGGCGGGAAGCCTGCTTCTCCCTCTCCTGCTCCCCCTGCTTGCGTTCCCTCTCTCGCTGTGTCTCTCTCTGTCAAATAAATAAAATCTTTAAAAAAAAAATTAAAAAAAATAAAATTATAATGACTTTTATTATTTTTACTTTGGCAACAAAGTCATGTCTTTCACAGCAGAGTCAACATTACCCATTCAGCTGAGTTTCAAGCACCTACTCTGTGTAAGCGAATGTTCAGCCCTGGGAGAGATGCACAGAACAGTTAGATGCATTCTATTTGGGGAGAGGGATTTTATACCAATAATCAAAACAATATTAAAAGTTCCCATTTACTCAGGAGACGGGCTGGCTCAGCCGGTGGAGCCTGTCACTCTTGCTCTCAGGGTCATGAGTTTAACCCCCACATTGGGTGTAGAGATTACTTAAAAAAAAAAAAAAAAAAAAATCAGGAAAAAAAAGTTCCCATTTGCTCCATAGTTACTATGTGTAGTACTTTGCATGAATCCACCAAATTAAACCCAATTTAACTCACTTTACAGATGAAGAAACAAGCTCCCAGAAGATAAGAGTCAAGAGCTAGGATTCAAACACAGGTCTACCTAAGCCTATGCTCCTAGGGAGGCTGAACCTACCAAATTAAGTATCAGCCAAGAAGATTAAACAATTTGTAACCAGGGGCCATTTACCAGGGCATGCATCTTGCCAAACAGAGGCAGGACTTGATCCAAGTCCCTGTTTCCAAGGCTTGCACATACCGCTTCACTGGGCGTAGAGAGGGATCGCTCCCAAGTATAGTAACCATGTAAGAAGGTTTCGGGGAAGAGGGGGCGTAGAATCCAGACAAGCAGAGAGAAGCTGTGTCAGGGGTCCCCAAGACCCGCCCCAGATGCAGTGACTTCCTAGGAAATCTCACAGGACTTGGTACCTCATCCTACTCATGGTATGATGTATTACAGTGAAAGGATATAACGGTAACTCAACAAAGGGAAAAGGCACACGGGATGAAGTCCAATGGCAACCAGGTACAAGGTCTTAGGGGTCCCCTCCCAGGGAGTCACACAGGGCACGCTTCATTCCCCCTCTGGGACAAGCTGTGACAATCTGTGTGAAAATGTCATCTGTAAGGGAGGCTCATTAGAGGCTCAGTACCCAGACTATTTCTTGGGCACTGGTCACATGAGTTCTCCTCCTAGCGTCTGCCACAATTCCAGACTCCCAGAAGGAAAACAGGTATTCAGCATAAACTACATTGTTTCTGCAAACCATTTAGGCACAGTGGGCCAGTCTTATCAATTCTGGGAATAAGTAAACTCTCCCCAAATCCAAATTCCCAGCCAAGGGCCAAGCTTGTCTGCAGGCTTTTCTAAGGATAGGCAATCTCAGGACTGCTAGGTTAACTTGTTCCTGCACAGAAGCCAAGGGGACTTCCCATTATAGCAGAGGGAATTATATAACAATCTATAACCAGAAAGGAAGGCACCCCCATTGCTGACAGGCTTTTTCCTGTCTCTGGCTGCCACCAGGTAAAGAGAAAGATGCTGCTTTGCTGAGTCAAGATAGCAGTCATGCCCCCTAGCGCGTTCAATAGCAGGTGACAAATGCCTGCAGCAGACTTGGATGCAAAGCTTATACCGTGACTAACAATTTCTTTGGTTCTGTCACTTTTTGTGATACGTTGAATATATCAGAGGTGGCCAGATGAAAAAATACAGCACACCATTTTTTCATTTCCAGGGGTTGCTGTCAAGAGGCAAAAGAATCATCAGAAACATACCACCCGAGTTCCAAGGGTTAAGGGCTTCAGGCAGGAAACAAACACATGGATGATGGTGGTGGGGGTGATGTATGGGGGAGGGGTGAGGTCTTCAAGGAAATGGAGTAGGTATCCCATCTCAAAGCTGGGGAGGTAGGGCGCCTGGGTGGCTCAGTTGGTTAAGCGACTGCCTTCAACTCAGGTCATGATCCTGGAGTCCCGGGA